TTGACCAGGGACAGGGACAGGGATCATGGGCCCTAGCGCTGCTCCTGACCTGGGCTTCTAGCTCCACGCTCGACCACTGACCTTAGCCCAATGACATAAACTCCAAACCGGAGCATAGCAGTCTCCAAAGAGCCCGTCTATTAAGATCTGAATTCAACCACCAGCATCGTCCAGGCACCGGCTTCTGATCCAAAGTACCAGCATGGTGTACCATCTACAAAGATGCACTGCAACAACTTACCAAGTTCCCTTAGACATCACTTTCCAAGCCTACAATCTTTACCATTTAGATGGACAGGGGCAGGCAAGAATGGGAACATCAACACCTGCAGGATGCCCTCCAAGCCACACATATTCCTGACTTGGGATAAATTGCTATTTCTTCACTGTTGTTGAGTCAAAATCCTGAAGGTCCCTTCCTTACAGCACTGTGGGTTAATAGAATGGGCAAAAAACACTGGATCACATCCAACTGAAAAATACACATCCACTGACACATTTCCCTCTCTTGCATTCCAGGTTGGTGCACAATTGCAGGCAGTAGAACCTAAATCTGGACTGTCAGGGATCAGATGTACAACTGAAGTTGTGCATCAGGACCCTGCAACCTGGAGGCCTACGTTGCTCCATTTCATCACCTTTCCCATCACTCAAGCTTCCCTTCAAACTTTGATCCTAATGTCTCCACTATTTCTTTACTTTGCCATTACCATCACCACTTAATATTCCTTCACTTCCAGTCTGAACCCCAATCACTGTCAACAATGTCTCTTTCCTTTATTAGTTCAAATCCTTATAATTACATAAGATAGTGGAACAGTAGTTGGGTAAATGGCCTTTCAAGCCAAACTGAACCTTGACCTCAAGTCCACTTTCCTGTTCAATCCCTTCATATCCCTAGAGTCTAGCAATTTTAGCCCTGAATAAACTCAGAAGTTCAATATACTCAAACACTGTGCATCCAATTCTAAGTATGCACAAAAGCCTTAATGAAGACATTTCTCCTGATTTTAAGTACAGAGAGTCAGGCACTTTTATATTGAACATATATGTAAAAAAAACAGTTCTGAAGAAGTCATAGCGGATATAAAATATTAACTTTATTTCTCTTGCCACAGATGCTGTCAAACTTATCAAGTTTCTCCAGCACATCCTGTTTTTGTTGTTTTGGGCGTCCAGCATCACAGTACTTTGCTTTTATTCTTGTTTTCTCCACAGCAGATTACTGAAAAATATATCACAAAGTATATATAATTGAGATTGATGGATGCACTAATGTGTACGACTGGCTTGTTGTTGTACATCCCATATAACATTTTTTAATTATCCATGAAATGCTAACTATTTCACCTTGTTGTCTTTATGAGCTAGGCGTGACCTACATTATGTTGTAGCCAGCTCCCAGCAGAGGTCTTGACACTAATTGACTTTAGAACCTAACATTTTTGAGCAGTTGTGCACCTAAAATGACTTGCCATTAACAGGGTTGATTCAATGTAAATCTACTGGATTCTGTTCTCAAGAACAGATTCTGCAGTGTTTTCAATTGTTTACGTCAGACCGTGTAATATTGAGAACATTTGCTAATGTACGTCTTTATCTTTGGATATTTGTTTTGAGGTATCAAAAAGTTTCAATAAATTGTTTTTAACTGTTTCTTCAAAGCATTTTTAAACCTTAAATGCTGATGGATTTTCACTAGTTAAAAAGATGTTTGCTCAATTAATCATCAGTTCGTACCTCTAATTTATTTGTGTTTGACACAAAAGATATTCTTAGATCCCTGTCACTTACTTGTTGCTGCCAGAAATGGGAAAATTCACAAGTTATGTAATCACTAGCCCCCAAACCCCATGATCTCCCCAGTATCCAGACAAGCTGTATCAGTCTAATAGATAGTGGATTGGACAAAGTTTGATAACTCAGCTATAGAGACATAAACATTCCAAACACAAATTATTTAATAAATGCTTTCTAATTCAGAAATGTTGACGAGAAAATAGGTAATATCATTATATATTCAAAGCTACTAAATGTAGCACCAATATATTTGTAAACTATAGTCTCCCATTACAGGGTATTTACAAAGCACACTTCCTAAAGTTTAGAATACAATAAACAGTTGTAAAGTCAGAATGATCAGTCACAATCAAAGACACCAAGGGCTAAAGGGGCAGAAAATTATACTTGGTCTAACATGCCCAAATTAGCATGAATGAAAATCAACTAGTTCATTCACTCTCACCACTAACTAATGAAAAGTAGAACTCAGCATTAAAGGAAGCAAAACAATTATTTTTTCATCTTTTCTTTTGATAGAAAAATTGAATTCCCCTCAAACTAATCTATCTGAAAGGATACTGCCATATGTCTAAGCAAAAACTGCAACTGCTATACCACACTTCCAATTTATTGTACTTTGCTGTGGAACCCGAAGAATTAATTACTGTTTATAAATTTAAAATGTCAATTTAGAAATAGCATGCTTTTATTGCTGAGCTTTTTGTTTTATTTAAAACCAACGCAAAATTAAGTGCCTCCAAAGGTTATTTATTTATTATGTTCTTACCTTCATAATTGTTGTAACAATGCTTATACATAGTGAACTATACAACGTTCAAACTGGGCAGTTAGATTTTAACAGCTTAGGTAACTGCATTACTTGTTGAGTAGACTTGCAATCGGTGTCTGACAAATTTCTATGTCTCTGGCATTTTGCAATTTACATACTGCTCTCTTTAGTTGTTAACTAAAACTGTGGTCTCATCAATCTTTTCTTAAGTATATTCACTTACGATGACCACGGGAAGAAAATGGAGGGCTGCAATGCACTAGATACATGATAAGTAAAGGCTTTAACATTGTTTCATAAACCAAAACTAACTGTAGGAGAGGATTAAGTAATTGTAGTTTTGCACTTTTTTCTCAATTTAAAAAGAAACGTAACATAAATGTTTTATCTTATTGCCTTCTACTCCATGTCACTTTTTATCAGGGCCAAAAATAATAATCAAAAATGCTGAAGAAATGTTTTGATATATAAAATAGAAAGCACTTTAATAAGCCCAGAAGTATCCAATTTGTCTTCAGTAATATAGTCAATTTAAAATATAAAAGTCAATTTGATTGAACCAATTTAATCTGTTTTATAGGCTGATGGACATTTACAAATAAACACGATTTTCATCTTGCTCCTGCAATGTTTTATATTATTAACTTCACAATAAGAACTTAACAATGGAAATATCTATGCCATTCCAGACAAATGCAGTATAAACTGCCCTCTTTTGAGTTCACACAGCTATTCAATGTTCAAGTTGTAGTAATGAAACTACAGATATTCTCCAACAGAATATATTCGCCGTGTGCCTACCACCAACAAAATGTGGTGGCTGGCAAGCATTGAATGATATCCTTCAGCAGCTTCTATAAAAATCTAATAGTGTGTGTCTATATTATATAGCAGAGTGATGACCATGCAAACAATGTTATTACTGTGATAATTAAGATGCTCAAATTCAAGAAAATAAATGTGGATACATGGTCATTCACATCGCTATTGATGCAGCAGCTAATTCTCTGTATTTGTCAGTGCAAACAAGAGAGAAGTGATGCATAAAACAGCTCTTTGCAGACAGCAACAAAATAATTAGGCAATGTAAAATGCCTTACATTCAAACACCTGAGGTTTGCAGTAAAGGTAGTCTGACTATTTAGGGGAAACATAAATTCACTTTGCATTTTTACAGCACCTTCAATTCCAAAGTGCTTGATGGTGTCAGGGTTGGGAAGCGAAAACAATCCAAGCATGAGTGGAAAGAACAACTAAGGGAGATATGCAAATATATAACCACAAGATAAGATTTTGAGGTTTTGCAAATTCAGGAGAAATGGACCAAAACATTTCATTTGAGAAGAAAATTTAATGGTGCAATATCAAAATGACCACAATGAAGCAGAAGAAGAAGGTACATATTGTAGACCAGTTACAGAAAATCAAAAGGTGTAGCCTGGAACACTTGGCATGAGGCAAAATGGATTAAGGTTATGAATGAGTTTGTAAATTCGTGGAAAAAATTCTAAATTTAAGTGCCAGGGACTTAGTGATGAGAGATTAGGGCTCAGTATGATGTCAGTAAACTTTAAATGAAAACAACATAATTTTGGAGATAGTGGAGTATGATGGAGCTAGGGAAATCAAAGACATTGAATCTGGAGGTGATGACTGCATGGATGAGAATTCCAATTGGGAGAGGAGAAAGGGGAGTCAGAAGCACGTGGTTTTGCAAAGACAAATATAGACCTTCTTGATGTTGGATAAGATGTGGGATTTAAGGATCTGCACTGGGTTAAAGAGATCTCTGCTATTGTAGCCCATTAAGGTCAACCTGAGCCAGGGGCTGAGATGAGTGATTGGAATCGTGGGCATTATTTCTGGAGGGAACTGAGCAAAGTTACTAGGACTCCTTGGAGTTATATTAGAAAAATATATGTTGCATAAAAGAGAGTTGAACAAGAGATGTGGAATTGAGGGTAACTAACCAAATTGCTACAGGAAACTTTGTAATACTCATTGGTTGCTCACAAGTTATTCCTCTAGCCACATTTGCAATACAAAATCACATTCATTCACTGTTAATTTGAGCAAACTGGAAATGGTGCTGCATTCACATGTGTGTCTACCCTAATTCAATGCTTGCACTGGGTTGTATCAAATTACCAGTCAATCATTAGAATTTTGTCAAGTTGGAGTATGACTGGAGATTGCCAGTTATTGAGTACACTATCTTTTATTAGTATTTCTGCTATTGTAGTGTACCTGTTCAAATCATTTATATTGTCATAAAAACCACCAGCCAAAGGGAGCTGCTCTCCAAACAAATTAAGAAATATGTTTCCCTCACTTATACCAGTAATGTAAATTTGACTTACGTGGAAATTGACAACAAATTCAAATATGAGGCTGCAAAGTATACAGGGATAGAGAACCAGTCTATGAATTTGGTTTACATGGGGCAATTTATTTACACAGCAGAAATCCATATTAAAATCCATGTTCAAATGCAATAATTTTCCTCCATGTTTGGCAGCAACAGGTTTATAAGATAGGAAACATTTACGCCGTTTTTGTTTTATTTTTCTTACTTTCAGAATACTCACAATGCAAACTCTGTTTGAAATAAAGGAATTCATTTAACTTTTTTTTAAGAAAACAGACTTAGCCAGAAAACGAGCTTCCCCAATTTCTATTCAGTTAACATAAATATTCACTTAAATGGAACTGACCCTACTACTATGGTTAATTACAAAGGGCAGCAATTGCAGCACAAGAAGATACGTGTGCATGCACAATAAACTGTACCTACAGGAAAAGCTATCTATAGATTGATTGATATAGGTATAGATACTAAAAAGGGACTTTGAAAAATAAACTGAAAAGCAGTCCGGGTACATGTCTAATTACAGGCAATCTTTGGGCATATTAAAGGTGAACAATTCATTTGGGGAATTTTTCAAGCCAATTTCACAATTACAAAAAAACGATGGCTGTTGGAGCATTTTTCCTTCCTTTTCTCCGAAATCCCGAATAGATCTTTAAGAAACTGGAACTCTCAAAACAACAAGAGTATTATTAGACATACTAAGGTTTTTGTCCACGGCCTTCTCTCCTGGGACTCTGCAAAAATGTCTTTGTAGCAATACATTATGATTTTAAAAACATACCACGTGAAGGTTTTTTTGCAAAGGAAGCCGAGCCGTATTGAAAGAATGGTGTATTTATGGTTGTTGATGGTTTTAACATGCACATAGTTCTGCAAAGGAGGGGGTTACTAATTGCGATTATGCATTTTAATTCAATTTTGAAATGACTGTGGGCATAAAAACACATCACCATCACACATCAGTAACGTTGCATCAGAAATCTTAATGTTTTCGTAAAAAGAACTGAAGTTGCATTTTCCGCATTGCTGTTAAAATTCACACCATCCATCAGCGAAACGCAAAATGAATAACAATGTCAATTTCAAACGGGCAATCTTAATCGAGCACGGTAGTTACTGGGTAATGGAAGAGTAACAAAAAAATCAAAATTGGTTAATGAAAAACAAACGTTTATGTATATAAATCACTACATTACGACGAGGGGATATGAGAAATTGAACGAAGTGTAGCACAAGGAAGGGGGGGTGAGAGGGGGAGCGTTCAACATGGGTTTGTTTACGAACAAACAAGTTAGTTGACAACGCAAACAAAAAGTTCAGGGTTAGAAGTTCCATCCGAGCAACAATTTTCTTTAACACGTTGGCTCCTCCTTTGCTCTTGGCTTATGTTTGTAGATGGTCCCATTGTGCTTTGTGTAAATCCGTGTGTGATTTCTTTTGTTCATCCCTCGGGTTGTTTCTCTATCAGATAAAAACAAAATGTTTCAGACTACCATTGACTGAAATAAAAACAGGCACACTTGAAACTTTAAAACAGTGCCCCTCACTCCTACACCCACCCCCAACAAACACACGCAACATCCATCGACTTTTCTAAAGTATCTGCAGATTTGCACCCGTGATAGAACCATGTTTGTATGTTTAGAGATAAATTATTAGGCTAATTGTAAGCGTGAGGAGCTAAACTGTGCCTTTGTCTTTGTTTTTACCATGAAGTAAAACGTGTTCCAGGTCAGCAGCGTGCTTTGAAGACTGGGGGATGGGGGCCTGCCGTTACCGTCCCAGCTGAGAGGCCAAGACTTGTGAATGAATGAGATTTGATTGAGAAAATAAAAGTGGCTTTTTTGTTTGTAAGTGATATAGAAAAATCCGGGATTGGTTGTTACTTATATATATACACACAAACACATATATATGCGTGTGAAAGAGCTTAATACTATAATGTTAATACCCTTCGAGAAAGACATGTAACGCCAAACATTCCTTTTTGGGTGTGTTAGGCTGGGGGAGGGTTGCTTACCCTTGGTGTGGTCCACCTTTCAGTGTCTATGCCTGTGGCACACCATGCTTCCAAATAATCCTTTTCCTTGCTGCATAGCCTATGCTGACATTTCCTCGGCGGCCCTACACAGCGAAAACACAGGAAATAAACACATTTAATGTGACAGCACACCCCACCATCCCTGTCATAAATAGAGGCAGCAGTCACCACGCTTGTGCAGGCACTCAACTTGAGGTTTTTAAACAATGGCTTAACCCCCTACTATACCTCCCCCCCAAAAAAGTCTCCCCGTTAAAATCAACTTCATTTTCAGCAGTCATATTGCAAACTGCGGATTCATTTAGAAACCCCTTGACTATCCAGTAATACATCACATTTCTAAAAGTTTATATTTCCACACCCAGGTAATTTGGATTTAACTAATTAGAGCGATCAAATGAGGATAGGAAGTCCTTTTATTGTAAGGATTTAACGTGTAAGTGGTAAAGGCGAACATGAACTGAAGTTTCCCCGTCGAAGCGCTCCAATTGCAAAATGTTTTCATTTCCGAACTGGGGAGAACATATAAATGTAACATATATATGGATTACTCCTTGTCGTTTTCCGAGCCCGACATGCCTGAGGTAGCAATCGGTCTTCTTTCAGGCATTTGTGTTTTTTTAGCACTTCCTGCAGTAATTTACGGCAATGACTATTGATTAGTTTTTTTTAGCATGATCATTTCATTCGTTTCAAGAGCTGACGCCATGCAGTCTACAGGGGGAGGAGTCCAGAGCAGACGGGCGGGCAAACTTTCCCGTCCTGCATCTTGGGGGTCCCCATTGCTGGGTTTTTTTGTGAATGAAGTTGATCTGCGAATGACAGATTAACCGCGTAGATGTTTTTTTGGGGGGGTGAGGTTGGCAGTGCAATTTCTTTTCGTAGTTACTTCATTTTCAAAAAAGAACCTTCTGCTCTCTCAGCCGAGTGCAGATTGCGAAACGCGTTTACTTTTTGCAACAATCAACGCGTAAAGTTCACATACTGTAAACTTGTTCATGTCTCTCCCCCCGCCCCACCACGAAGCACAGAAATTCATGTATCCCTCTCGGCAACTTTCCCTCCCTATTGTGTGGCAGACAGACAGGACAGGGAGAAATCTAAATTCCTTGTTCTGAACTGACTCGGCGATCGTGGGAAACTGCCTGCACGTAAAGCAGCGAATTCTTTGTCACTGTTGTTCCTCTGTAATTGATCTCACTTCATGTCGTTGAGCGGCGCACATCAAAGGCGCGCTGGGCTGTTGGAGGTCGAGAAAGCACATGCAGCTTCTGGAGAGGCGCACACTTACACCGTCTCTGCAAGCGAAGATGTTCCCCGCTCTTGTGCAAACTGTGTACGTGTTTAATCGTTTAAAATGATCCGCCAACCCTTGTTATAATTCAGAATCTTACTACTTGCAAGAAGCCAGATTTATCTTAAAGACGTCTTTAAAAACACGGCAAGGGGGGTGGGAAGTGAAATTAGCAAATTTCTCATTGTGCAAGAAGTTGAGCATTATTTTGCCAATTTTCTAAACCAAGCTGATTTTAAATTGGGAGTCACTTCTCCACCGCAGTACTCCCCCCCGACTCCACGTTTGCCCTTTGTACAGCGATTAGCAGGGCCCAGTGCTGTCGGTCTACTCAGCAGCAGATTGCAATGGGGTAGTAGTGGTGCGGGGGAGCTGCAATTCAGCTACCGATACCTTCGTGGATGAGGCGCTCCACTATGTCTCAAAGAGAAAGTGGGAGCACCTTGTAAGCACTCCTACCCTCGGAATGTTGGTGTGTTGCTCGCACGGTGTTGTATTGAAATAACCTGCTGGATTCCAGCCATTCACAGGAGACTTTGTTACTGAGTGCCCGAATCTGGGACACGTGAGTTCCCCTGACTTCTGCCTTCACCCCCCCCCCCCAAAACCTGGTGAATTTCTAATGTTTTATCTGGCTCCTGTCCGAGCTGATTGCTTCGTTTTCTTCATCCTTACCCCACCCACCCTTCCCCTTCTCAACCCCATCTTCCCCTCCCCCCTCCCCCAGCTTCTTTATTCCAACCAGGGGGAAAGGTGTTTTTTCCTAAAAAAAACTCATTTTCATCTCGAGGGCTGGACAGGAATAATAGACCCCAGTAACTCCTTTCCTTTAATTGAAACTCCTTTACACCGGCTGCTGTCTCTCTCTCTCTCCCTTCCGTGTGTTGGTTTATATAAATTATGGTCATTATTTGTAAACTTGGCAGCAAACTGCAGTGCCCCTATTTCATTCCCGGTAGATTATAACTGGCTCGGTTCATTCCTAACTCCAACTCAAATTACGACGACAGAAGGGTATTTAAAAACAAAGCAACAACAACAACAACAACAACAACGAGAGGAAAAAAAACTAACAGCGGTACCCACTGCAAGAACTAGTGCATCTTTTTTTTGTAGCATCCTGGAATTTGTTGCCCTAGTTTCCCCCCCACCCCAACACTACCGCCCCCCTCACCATTCCCTGCCTCCATTTCTTTTTTTTTTGCCTCCTCCTCATCACATTCAACACCAGGACGTCCGGTGTTTCTGCTTCTTGGTGTTAACCTGTTGGAAAGAGTTAGAAGTGTCAGAAGCCACAATGAGCACAGGAGGTGAAGGACCGAGTCAGTCCCCGACTCCCCCGGAACAACCTGCAGAGACACCGCAGAAGAGAGGTCGGGGAAGACCCAAGAAACAGCAGCAAGTCAGTATCATGCGTTTACCTCTTTTTTTTTATTTGAGACAAAATAAAGTGTTATTTCTTGGAAAAAAAAACCTGAATGGGACAATTCAGGATTTGATGAAGGACTTGTGCGTTGGGTTGTGCCTGCTGTTTCTAAACTGCCACCCTCTCGCATTCTCTGGCTTCAGTAAATGCAGCTCAGTTTGGCGAATTTGCAGAAAGCCAGTGGTTTACCGATGGGGACGGTCAGTGATGGTAGATTAGCAAGCGCTTTCAAACAATGACCTCCGGCTGACGGTAACGTTAAACGCTGCCACTGATATCAATAATAAAGCTCAACGATCAGAAAGGATTGCAATAAACTGAATGAGGCTCGTTTGCCGGAGTTATCTGCCGCATATTCACGGCTTCCAAGACTTTTGGAACTCTTCGGCTATTTCGTTTTCGTTTTTCAAGTTGCACCCATTTAAAAAATGTGATCCGAAAATCCCGCCTAATTTGATGTCTTGTGGGACACAATCGCCTTCTCTCTCTCTCTCTCTACGTGGCTGCCATAAAGGTTTATTTTCCCACAGTTTTGAAGAAAATCTTTGGCAATATGCTCTGTTTAAAAATCCCCGCACTGTTCCAGCGCTGGAAAGTGTATGAGATTATCATTTGCCCCCACCCCCCCATTCTGTTCACTTTCAGGACCCTAGTAATGGACCTTGTGTAATGTAAATGCGGTAATTCCAGATTGTCCAGGAGAGAGGCGGTTTTTTTTCAATGTAATGTTGGGCACAGTCATTGCTGTTTATTCATACATCATTCTATGCAAGTAAAATAACTGCTTTTGCACGCGTCCGAATTGATTCAGTAATCCCACATGTTTTTCCCTCTTCTTTCTTGTTTTATATTCTAAGCGAGACATCCTACAAGGCTATTTAATATGGTGTGTGCCCGGATTATGAAGCTACAGGGCAGTAGTTTATTTAAGAAGCAAACAAATGTCTGCACAGACTTTTTCCTTCCGTTTGGATTTGACACGTTCGCTTTTTATTAAACGTCTCCGAGTAGTTGAAAAATACTGTTTGCCAAGCGGGCAGGTTTGCGTTACTTTTCCCCCCAAGATCTGGGAATAGAAGTTGAATCGCGGTTCTTTCGAGACATGGGTATTTAGAACCTGACCCCTTTCAACCAACAAGATTAAAGTTTTTCATTGGATCCATTAGCTAAAAGCTTGAATATCCCCGGGTTGAATGGCGATTGCCTGTTGACTCTGGATAACTCCCCTAACACCATTAGTTTGGTAAATGGTCATCACAGCATTCAGTTTTCAAACGAACGCGCGGTGTTAGAATATTTGGAGTGGAGTTCAATGGAAACTAAAAATCAGTTATTTCCCACTAGCAAGGTTTAAATAGTTAAAAGTTTGCCATATTTGACTAAGTCCAGTTGCATATTGTATGCAGGTCACATCTATTTTGCCATTAACACAATTGGACTTCTTAAATTGCAATTGGTATGATGAAGGTTCATAATAACAAGGATTTAGAAGTCAAATGATACTTTGAGATTACTAAAACATATATGTAACTTTAAACATCGGTATCTGCTAAAAGAGTAACCCAATGCTGAAATATCTCATTCAGTATTTTCCAAAATTAAAGCATGAGTTCAACAAATCCAACCAAACTGCAGTATGTCACCAAGACCCAACCTTCTACATTGAGCTTGAGGTTTTGTTTGTGCACTTTCTAAAGAATTTAACGCATTGAAACCTAAAGTTCCTCAGGTCTGTGTTTAACTGGCCACTGTTCCGTATTACATTATAGGAACCGACTGGACCACCTACGCCTAAACGACCTAGGGGAAGACCAAAAGGAAGCAAAAACAAGGGTCCCTCTAAAGCAGCTCAAAAGGTGAGATTAACGTGCAAACATTTCTGAACATTAACCACACATAGAAGACCACTTTACAAATGAGTTCAATCATTCATTAGAATCCAGTTTACAAATGAGTTCCATCATTCATCCCGATTATCAGAGGATTTACACCATTTTAGTAATTTGTGTTGTTTGAATCACATTTCCTGCTGTGTCAGAGTCCAGGTTTAAAGTATTGAGACCATGACCGCTTCCTATCGGAAGGATCATTTTCTGTTTCGATTTGGAGAAGTTAAGTAGCTTTGAAAAGGAGAGATATTTCTCTTGATATGTTATTATAAATTCCTGTCTAGCGTGTAGCACTAATTTATCAACATTTCATAATAACATCATAGTTTATTCCATCTGAAGAAATCTCCAATTCATAGCTGTATCTTTCCTTGACCTGTGCTTTTGTCTTAAAAATTCAATATGTTGAGTTGCGAATATCCAGTGTTAATGAGCAATATTTTGTGGTTTCTCCACACATAAAGTTGGTACTATATTAAATTTAAATTTGGGCATGACTGGGTTGGAAACAATTATTATTTGAATATTCAAGGAAAATTAGCTCTGTTCTTTTATCAATTTGAAATGTTAACAGAATAGAAGTTAAAAGTCCTTAGTACTCAATTTATTGCAAAATTCGTGTGGTGCATATTGACTGTAGCAGTTCTATTGCAACTAGTTTTTGCCAAAGTTTGTTTTATTATTAACAAAAATGCCATAATTAAGCAAAATTTATTATGGATTTGAGGAAAAATATAGAACAGAAGGGTTTTGATCAATGGTACTAAGATTATTAAATACATACTTTTCCAAAATGGGACTTCTTAATGTAATCATAAGAGCATGTTCATCATCTCATTAAGTATTGCTATGAAAGTATAATTCTGCATACTTTGGGGACTGGTGATGGTTTTGATTGTTTTGTTTGAAACATCCTTTTGTTTTTAAAGGAGGTGGGTAAATCTCCTAATTCACTGAAAATCTTCCACAACTTTGGTTTAATGTTTGGCTATTTCTTCCTGATAATGTCTTTCCATTGATGCCTACATTGAACTCCCGTCCTCACAAATTAGGAGGCCTGAAGAGTTCTTCAGATTGAGTCTTCTCTTGAAATACTTAAAGTTTATAAATTAGAAGAGGAATTAAAATAGGATATTGATCTGTATGTCTAATTATGATGATTCCAATAAATGAAAAGAAAAAGAGAGAACTGAATGCATTTCCCTGGTAAGCTGAAAGTTTAAAGAAAACTTCGAGAAATCTTGTTTTTGAGACTTTCCCCATTAGAGTATATGCTTAAAAAAAACTTGTTTATTAGGGGACCTATCGTATAAAACATGACACAATTTGACAGCACATTGTTTGGGTGAAGAAGGAATACATATTTGATTGGTCTCAACATAGCCGTTTTTAGGGATTTACAAATACACCAACCACAGCACTGATTTTTCTAAAATGTCATTCTTGTGTTATCTTTGTAGGTAAAAGGCTATTACTATGATTAGTTTAATAATTAAAATATGAAAGGAATAACTGAGTTCACCCCCTGTCATGGAAGATATTGTGATTGATTTTTTTGCCCGTGGTTTTCTAGATTAGAACCGGCACATCACATTTGGCATAACCTTTTTTTTGTTAAGCATAATCTTTTTAAAAATGATATTAACTGCAATAACTTTCAAACCAAATAGAACAAAAAGGCAGAGTTTAAAAATTTAAAAAAACTGAAATATTAAAAATTGTTTTCAGATTCCATCTTTCTTTAACACTGTATTTAATACCTCAAGTTCTGTCCTTTCTAACGTAGACTATGAATTTGACCACCTTGGTGAAATTTAAATGCATGCACCGCTGTGGTAATATTGTATAATCTCTGGCAACAGCTATCTGTCCTGTACCCCACCAATTACTCCCCTGACCTGAACCTTTGACACAGTCTATCTTGATGTCTTACTGTATCATTTTGAAAGGTAGATACCTTTTCCAAAATTTATATATTGTTACACTTAAGTTATTACTCAACAAAGGATGGATGCCTAAGGAATACTTCACATCCATTAAATTATTTAAACAGGCCTTATCTTGTTAATTGCCTTCAACTGCACAGGTTTAATTTCCTTTGTGCCCAACAGAGCAACGTACAAAGGTACAGCTTAAAGCTCCACCTTTCTTGGTTCAGCTCCCATATCAATTGTCTCCTTGTTTCAAGTACTTTAATAACCCTGGAGTTCAGGTGACTTGCAAATCCAAGTGTTAATTGTTAACAGTCTGAGTTGAGACTTGCTTAGAAGATCCATATTTTTATGGGCACCTTAGGTTGGACTGTGAAAATTAATCGCTGGCTGAATTTATCTTATTAACTTACTGATCATAAGAATGGCAATTTGGGACCAATGACCTTTGTTCTTTTCAATTTAAAGAGTAACGTTACTTCTGAACAATTTAGTTATTTGCATAGTAAAAGATATTGGATGCAATTTCAATGAACTCTTCACCCCTTTTGAATCAGCAATGCAACAGATTTTTTAGAGTATATAAATAAAGTACTAAGTGCTCATTGTTGCACAGGGGGTCTGTGTGTTGTTGTATCTAAAAATAGCTCAACTAGACAGTAAACATAGTTACTCTAGGAAATGAGTTGTTACGCAGTTCATTTTCTATTGCTGGGGACTGAAATGATTTAGTAGCCTGATCAATTAATAAGCCATTTGTTAGGAATTGTTGAAGTTGAGTTGTGAGCACACACAAAGTTTAACAAAATAATTGAAAGTTTTATGCTTATAATAAAGACATGTGAATTTGTGTATAATGTTGTGATAGGTCTTAAGAATGTGGAGGTAACATTGTCTCCCAATTTTTTTGTTAGAAAGCTGAGCCCGCTGGTGAGAAACGACCTAGGGGCAGACCTAGAAAATGGGTAAGTGCCCCTTTCTTCATGTATTGCTTTAGTGGTGAACTTCTTTTCCTTCTCTATCTGTATTTCCCCTGAATATACAGGCATTGATTTCTTGTTCCATTGAAGAACTCTACTAGTACATCACTCAACTATCCATGTTTCACGTGACTTGTATATTGGACGCCTAGAGATACATCACCATTGATCTCCACACCGTCCTTCCCAAATGTCCCCACATATGCATTTTCAGTTAAGATCATTGAATATTAATCAAGAATGGCAACCTTGAGTGATTGTGCTGGCTTAGAGAAGGGAAAATGAGAAAAAAGGTCATGTCTATATTGATAGTCAATTGGAGATCAGCTGATATAGTACAGAATTGAGGCCACATTTACCTTTTCTGTGTTTTGTGTACTTCAACAATTGTTCCCTTCAGGTACTTTCAAAAGAATCTTGCAAAATCAAAGCTCTTTACTTTGGAGGAAGAAGATTTAAAGGAAACATTAATCTGGGAAGCCAAGTAAAGTGACCCCCAGTCCTGTGTACATATCAGTTACAAAAGTTTAAAAAAAAAGTTTTATTTCTTGTTATTCTCGTAGCAAGGCGATAATGAACAAAATTGAAGTTATAGAGATTGTTATATACAAACAAAACCAAATATCCAATGAGACATGATGGGTTCTGTGCTGTAGGTTTTGTGCAAGTGCCATATGTGGAAAGCAACCAGAGATGGATAAAATAGGTTGCATGAGCAAATAGCTTTTCGTCTGCTTTGCAAAGGGAATTCTTATTTTAATGAGAGGAACTGATTGGGGGCAATCGGTGGTGAAGCAAAGCTTTATGTATGTAAATTTAAAGAAGAGCTGCTAACATTTCTAATTGATAACGTGGTTTAACAGGTAAGAAATGCATACATGGTAAATGTATACAACTCTAGCAGTATAAAATGAAAATGTTGAAATTAATTACAGTGATCAAAAATTTGCTATTGAAATAAATCCCTGCAGAAGAATGAACAGTTTTTATAATTCCATGTAATTACTGAAAGGACTTATTCCTGTAGTGCATACGCTCTCAATCACCAATAAATGGAAGGTAGTACTGCATATAATGATTGCATTTAAAATGCTAAAATTACATACATCTTACAGTACGCAAACAGTCCATTTGATTCTACTGGTTAATGTCGATGTCTATTCTCCACACAAACCTCCTTCCCACAAGAATTCTCACCCTTCTTTATCTAAAGCTACCAGCATAATCTCCTTTCATTTCTCCCTTGTGCGTTTATCTAGCTGTCCCTGAAATGCATCAATGTGATTCTTCTGAACTACTCCTTGTGATAGTGCTATGACTTGTGATAGTGAGTTCCACACTGCACATTCTTACCACCCTCTGGATAAGGAAGTTGCTCCTGAATTCCATATTAGATTTATTGATGATCATATTATATTTATACAGCTCGTTTTGAACTACCCCACGAATGGAAACATTTCCTCGATGCCTAAAACTTTTGTAAGATGCCCACAAGATCATCCCTCAGTCAAGAGCCCAATCTTTCAGTCTCTCCAGTGTTCGGTCTTTAATCTCTGGTGTCATTGTAAATCTTTTTTGCATCCCATCTTCAATACCTTTTTCATAATATGAAGACTGAAACTGTGTAGCAGATCCAGATTCAGTTGATTTTACAGAATTGTGGCAAGTTGTTTTACTTCAAGCATTTGCACTTGTTCATTAACTTTACGTTTTAAAATTTCCAATTCATTACATTGCTATTTCAATGGTGTCTTCAATCAGTTGACAAGACATAACAGTGTGGATAATGGACTCCTTCATGCCATCCATTAATGTTGCTCTGTACATATCAGTAGAGTACATGCCATCTTTGACAAAATTACCTTCATTTTAAGATACTCCAGCTGAATACTGGCCAGCTGTACCATGAAACTATTTGACTTTAAATGAAAGCTCAGACCTAAGCCTCAGCTTTTCTGAACTTAAGTCCATTAATTCAGTTATTTCAGTTATTTCATTTATTTCAATTGTGTTATCTTCCAACTTCTCCTTTTGTGATTGCACATTTTGGGTAAACTGAGCAACTTTGGAATGCAGATTCTATTTGAAAATTGTATTGTCTGATTCTGCGAAGAACATTACCAAGGACATTTACCTACTTATCTGTACATTTTGATGTCCATCTTCACAACTGGGAAGCTAATTCCTAGGGTTAACTGAATTTTAATTCAACGCTACGTGATTTTTTTAAAAAAGTACTACATTAGTTGGAAGGATCTGACCATGCAAGCTTATCCGTATTGTTCGGTGCATTGAGCAATGTTGTCAATTATAGAAATATTGGAACTAATTTGTATGAAATTGATCTTATTCATTCAGTGTTTGGTAGCTCTGAGATAAAGGGACCTATCTTTTCCTCTGTTCCTGCCATTCATTTATAATTGCACATTCTCCATTATCTTTCTAGACATTGCTATTTAAATTAGAAAGTAAAACTCCTATCATTGTAATTTGTGTACATTCAGTCAATCCTGGTTTTTTCTTTAAATGCCTGCGTGTAATATGAGGATGTTCGTTTGTTTGCCCAAATCACATAAGCTATTTTAAGCTGAAAAATAACTCCTGATTATTTTTGCAAATATTCCCAGTGTGATTCAGCACCTTTTTAATACCTAAAATTTTACCACTCTCTCTTTTTCAAGATTTCCACAATTTTGCAGCACATGAGAATTATCTGGTTCTCAGCTTCAAAGATCAGGGAAGAAAAACATTAAGCCACAATTTCTAATATGATGCCTAATCACAGGTTTTCAACCTTGACCATTATGAGACCAGGTAATTCAAAATTAACATGGTTGGTGAGAGGTCAGCAGATAACTCTAGTAACTGCCAATTAGGGCAGAAGAAGTAGCAAAAATAACCACTCCTGATTTTCACCGAATCTGCTCAGTGGACATATAAGCTAGCAGGCAAAATCAGGAATGAGTTCGGTTGTGATGTGCTTACAGTTCACTTGCCACTCTTAATGCTTGAAGAATGGCCAGTTGGTAACAGAGCAGAAGGTTCCAATTACCTGTGGAACTGTTCTTTATCAAAAATTTCTGATTCAGAAAAAAGGGATGAGGTTGAGAGAGATAAGAAGCAATAAATCAAGGTAGATGTTCCATAAGAGAATTATTTTTATGGGTCTGTGTGTTTAATCACTTCTTCAGGTACTAAAATTCAGCTGTTCTCCAGTGGGTATTAGAAACATAAATAGTAAATAATTCTAATTGTTGTGAACGAAGAATGTATTGGGAACAACATAACAGTTGCTTATTCTTGTGTTTGAAATATCCTTTTGATGACATTCGTTGAGACCTTAGCAGTATGTAACAGTTGCAGCAATATAGCTCTCATAAGTATGAATGATTGCTTTCAGACTGAATGTAGATGTTGTGCACTATTCGATTTGAGGTGGTCATCCACTTTATAAGAATATCTAACATGATATGTCAAGTATTATTAGTTTTATGTCATTTATTTGTACTTAGCTTTCGTGTTTGTCATTTTGTCTTAATTAATTGATTTGGCCATTTCCAGTAACTAGAATTATTGACTTACAGTTGTGTGTTTACAATTATGTAATTTAGGAACATACCAGGAGTAGGCCTTTTAGCCCCTCAAGCCTTGTCTTGAAAGCTCCATTGTCAATATTGGAGCACCCATCTAATTGTAAGGAAATAAGTATTGCTTTTGGGTGGGTGCTTATCAAATAAATTAAATAACGTTGTTTCCAGGTCCTGAGCTTGAGAAGCCATAGCAATTGTATCCTGAAAAGGAGCAACTGTATTGATGTGAGAAGCGATCCTAACTTGTAGATTGTGAAGAAGTAAATTCTAATACAAATCTATGTAGTCCAAAGCTGTTTAAATTGGAAATGTTATTTTGAAGATCTGAAATCAATGAGAAATCATACACTTCTCAAGAATAAAGACAGAACATTAGTAGCACTGGAAAAGAAAGCGTTCTCTTCAAAATAGTGGAAAGGATGTTGACAGAAATGCATTATGTTATTGAGCAACTATTGTTAGAGAGAAATCATTCAGCTCATGAGCTGTGTGCAACTACCTTAGTATCTAGATGTGGATAATTGCATTTCTGGTTAATTAAATTAAAAAATGAGTAATACACTGTTATGGGATGTGATTTTAATACGCATTCACCCAATGTTTGTGCATCGACTTTTAATATTTCTATGCTTGTGTTGGTAAAATGGTATGATGTGAAACAAAGGGAATTAGTGTTTTTTTTAGTGCTTTTCTTCCTGTAATATATGTTTAAGTACATTAACCTGTATCATCTGAGCGCTCCAAGGCATTTTCTACTAACACTAACGTCTGTGGCTAGAATGATGTCTCTGTGGCCACTCCTGATGCCAGTCAACAATTTCAATGAAGGACACTGAAGGCTCCATGTTTTAACGTCTATTCCCATGATTTTGGCATTTGCAAAAATGATGCAAATAATTCTGTTGCAGAAATACAATGCACTGAAATAAAACTGCTTGGATTGCAGCTGCTAAGGATAATGCAACAGTTTTAAGATTGATCTCTGACCTACATGTCCAGTTCCCTACTCGCATTGATAGTTTTCTTTACTCTAGGTATCCAGGCAAGTGTAACTATAAAGCTGTGGTGATCTACAACATGGCTTTTTTTTAAAAGTGGCTAATCACTGTGTTTGTGACATAACCTAGCAACTGAACTGTTGGGAAAAAATGGTTTTCACAGAACTTAAGCCAGTAAGAGTGCACTCAGTGCAATGTTGTGAACTAAGGTTTACCAGATGACATTTTGCTCTCATGCTTTCCTTGACACACACAATCTTATTTTTCAATGTGAAAAATGACCAATGTGCTCGTAGGCCCCCTCCGCTGTGAATGGACTTCTCCATGGTCCATTGGCAAGCACACCAAGTGGACTGCGCAGATGGCAAGCTATGTATGTGCTTGTGTCCATTTATAG